CGAGCCAAGCGATCAACATTTTAATAAAGCAAGTATCCAAAGCCTCTTGGGAAGCTTTCTACACAGTGTAGAAACGATAGCTCTGCTACAAAGTACTGCAGGCTAGTGTTACAGATTACCACCACCTTTGTTAAATCACATACTTGCCTTGGACACTGATGCAAAAATAATGCTTTTATGGCCTTTTATAAAATAAAAATTCATTTAATTAAACGATATGTGAGCCTCTGCTATACTGTGTGACATGCCAGAGGCATTCTAACGGGAGTTCTCTCATCTCCAGAAGTTGAGTCTTTTTTTTTTTTTTTTTTTTCGCAATTCTGCAGTTTTTGGCCAGGTTTGGGTTTGAACCCACCACCTTCGGCATATGGGGCCGGCGCCCTACTCCTTCGAGCCACAGGTGCCGCCCCCCTCCTTTTTTTTGAGACAGAGTCACACTATGTCACCCTTGGTAGAGTGTCATGGTGTCACAGCTCACAGCGACCTCAAACTCTTAGGCTTGAGCGATTCTCTTGCCTCAGCATCCCAAATAGCTGGGACTATAGGCACCCGCCACAGTGCCTGGCTATTTTTTGTTGCAGTTATTTAGGTGGCCAGGGCCGGGTTCCAGCCCGCCACCCTCGGTGTATGTGGCTAGGGCCATAATTACTGTGCTACGGGCGCCGAGCCATCCAGAAGTTGGGTCTGATTGAGCAGGGAATGAATAGTTCTCAAGGAGGTCTTCAATATCAAAACTACATTAAACAGTATTTTCCTTTTTTATGCTCATTCTCTCACAAACGTGTTTTCCAAAGGGTACATGATATGACGTGTAATCAATGGCAGTGGAATCTGTGCTTGTGTGTTATGATGTCTTAAATTTTCTCCATTTTAAGTTCTAATTCAGTACATTTTAATAGGTATAACCCACATTTCTTTTTTAAAGCGCTCTTTGGGGTCTTCCATAATCTGTAAGAATATAAAGGGGTCTTGAGACCAAGTTTGCGAACCATTGCAATACAAAACGGACGCATATCCAGAATGCCCTTAGCAACAAAGAATAAAGAATTTACATAACAACGGAGATTAAGAGGTTTGGTCGCAACCAGGTTAAACGGAGGTGGGTAAACGGAAATGACCAGAGTGGGGCTAGGGGGCCATGGTGTGCAGGGGGTGCTCCCGCCGGCATGCTGAAAGCACTGGAGTGACAGTCTTGGTTCTCTGCAACAGTACACACCTCCTCCTTTTCCACACTCCATACAAAAAGCAGTTAGACAGGGATCTAACAAAAATTTGGACCAGATAGGAAATTTCAGGACGGCCTCTCTGAGTTAAATTAAAAGTCCGTCCACTTAGTAATAACTGTAAAGTTTAGCGTTGGAGCTTAAACATCTGCTTCCTCACTTTAGGGAGATGGCTAGGAAGGATGGGTGCGCGCCAGGCAGAAAAGGGCGGGAAAATGAAGAACTAAAGAGAAAAAGAAAGAAAGAGCTAACTGTAGGGGGAGGGGGGAAAGGCAACTCCAGAAGCCAATGAATGAGACCGAGGCTGCAGCGCGCGCACCTCCCCCTCCGCACGCGCAGGCGCAAACCTGGTTATCTCGCGGGAGATAGTCGTTGCCTTTCCCGGCGTTGTTTGGAGGTGGGGGGTAGTGGAGGCGGGAGTGAAGTCTCGCGAGAAGAGGCTGTAGCCGTAGCGGAGCCGTGTGGTTGTGTGTGTCTGAGGATCCGCCACTGGAACTGCGGACGGTTTGCTAAGCCCGTTAGTTCCCTGGGCCGAGACTCGCCCCACGCCGTCATGTCCCGCTACCTGCGCCCCCCAAACACGTCTCTGTTCGTCCGGAACGTGGCGGACGACACCAGGTAGGTACAGGGCAGGTACTGCGGGCCTACTCCTGGAGGCCGCAGGCGCGCAGAGAGGACCCTAGCGGCGGCGGCGACGGCGCCGAGCCGGGGGAGCGGAAGGGGCGAAGATGGCGGGTTCAGCGCCGACACTAGGCCGCGCCGCTGGCCTCAGCCGCGGCGTGGGAGCGAGGGCGGAGCCCCTGCCCTAGCTGGGCCGCCGCGGGGAGCGCGGGCCGCGTGGCGGGGTTTTTGTTGCCCTTCCCCCTCCGCACTTCGGGGCCCCTTCCTTCCCGCTTCCTCTGGGTGCAGCCAGCCCCGGCTACTGTATTTCCGCGGCCCAGCATCCGCTCCCCATTGATTCAAAATTCACCTTCTTCGGGGTGCACGCCCCCTCGGCCCAGAGAGATATTTTTCTGTTTGAAAAAAGAATTGCGGTGAAATAACGGGATCGAGGAAGAGGAATATGGCGAAGCATTTGCTACCTTTTATCTTTTTCTTAATTTTTGGTCGTTGTTAACATGTGTGGGTTTTAATCTGTTGGAGACGTTTTGGAAAAGGGATGTTGAAATCAGTGGAGTTTAATTTTTTTTTTCAGTTAAATGTCGCGAGTAGTTTTTCCCGTTTCCTGGAAATTCTGGTCACCCTTTTAGAAAAGAGGTTTTAGGTAGCCTTTACTATTAGCCCGTTGACACCGAAATTAGAGTACTCCATACCTACCTTAAATAGGTTTTGTTCTCACCAATTCCTTTAATTGTTTCAGGTTGCTTTTATATTTCAGGATCCACTTAGAAACAAGAAGTAAGATGTTAGTTTTGGGTGTTTATTTTTTTGTTAGGTTAGATACATTGTGATTTTAATTTTTCAGAACATCAACTGCATACTATTAAGTGTCTGATCCCATTGCTAAAATTTTACTGTAGTAAAAATAAGTGTTTGGTATTTTTCGGAGCACTGGAGTCGATTTGATGCAGTAAAAGAACTACATTAGTAAAGCTTATATACAACCTGATGTTGGTGTACTTTTTATGAAAAGTGCAGGCTGTGAATAAAAACAATATTCACATTGTGTCTTGTTTTCCTGTTGATGTAAAATAATGATACATCTAATTATGAACTGCATTTTTATCTTTCAAAGTCTTGGATCCTGGCTTCCCTTTACTAAAAAGGTTTATTGCCTGCCTATCTTTGTATGCTTTTAGTTGGCTTTTAATGTTGAGATTTAGAAAGCTTGTTTGTTCAGGTCACCCAGGGATACTGCTGAGACCTGTGGGGTCTCAATACTGTTAACCATAGTCCCTTTCAGTGATTGAGATGCTACAGAAAGATAACTTTTGCTTACAAAGAAGCTCCTTTCAGGGCATGAACATAAAAATTTGAGGTCTTTTTATGATTTTAGGTCTGAAGATTTACGACGTGAATTTGGTCGTTATGGTCCTATAGTTGATGTGTATGTTCCACTTGATTTCTACACACGCCGTCCAAGAGGATTTGCTTATGTTCAATATCCTTTCTTCAGATGGCTGATTAGTGAGGGGTGTTGAAGTTTGAAATTCAAGTTTATGTAAGTGGTAACATCTAAAAAGTAGTTTATTTTTGTCCTCTTATAAATGTCTTATGTCTTCAAATTTTTGAAAATTGCTTCTGACTCACACATTGCTGTTTCTTAAAGTTAATCCAAAAATAGTAATATTTAAATTCCCATTCATGCTGCTAACACTCAAATCAGTGATTATATGTGATTTAAATTTGAATACACTCTGGTTGCTACCACATTTAAATGTAAGTCAATTAAAAGTTAATATGTTCTTGTGCTTAGCAATTAAAGTTTGGTATTCTTGTTTGTTAATTTGAATCACTTGATCAAAAACAAATTGTATAACAATGAGGTAAACTTCTTTAATATTGTCCCCTAATTTGCTGTCCTCTGTTGTTACCTCAGAGAATGTAAAGCTGTACAGTTATGGCGACCCCAAAGAGAAAGCATGAAAGAACCTTTAGAGTAGAGTTCAACACTTAAGGCAAGTAGACAAGCCAAAGACCTCTTAAGGATCAGGCTTGAAGAGAAGGGAGAGTTTGGGAAAAGAAAAAATAAAGAAAAGCTGGAAGAAGGACAAGCCTAATGGGAGACAAAGCCTCGCTTTATCTACAAAAGGGGGAAAAGGTTGTTTTTCAAAGTTAAAGATAAAGCCATCTGTCATATTTGGCCAAGCATCTCATGACAAGTCCTTCTGACAAGCACTTAAAGAGTTAAAGGTCAAGATGAAGTTGAATGATGGCCAAGATTAAAGGAGTCATACCTGATGTATCCTACAGAATAACTTTATTTTTATTTTTATTTTTTATTTTTTTATGTTTTGTAAGCAGTTAATTTTCAAAATGATTCGGTTTGGTCTAGTGACAAAACCTGTAACTTGATTTGTGTGGGCCTTTGATGTTGTCATTGTGGTCTTGTATAAATGCACTCTCTCTTAGCTTATCAAGTTATAACAGGATGTAATATTGTTAAGATTCAATTCAGCATATTACACAGAGTAGCAGGTAGTGTGCTCTTTGGGGTAGCATAAGGTTCTGGGATCAGGCCACAAAGCTCTGCTTAAAGTAGAGATGGGTGCATGTACTGGGGACTACTTAGAAACAGCTCTGGTGTTCTTGTAGGGTCAGATCCACTAGAAATACTGTTTATAGAATTTTTAAGTGGCTCCTGGGGATACACACAAACCCTTAACTTCTTGGAGTTTATCTCTGTGATACCTATTGGCCCTGCACTGTGTTAGCACACCTGATCAGTTGGCCCTGAGTAGGTTGCAGAAAGCCTTCTCCCTGGGTACCTAAAAGTTAATTAGGATCTGTGGGAAACTGGTACCTCACCTAGGATTTCAGGTAATCTTACCTCCTCACTTAAGTGAGATCCTCTCCCTGCAACAACAAAGGTTTAGTCTGTGGACCTCCAGCTGGGAGAAACTGCTTAAATTCAGTGGATCTGAAATTTAAGTTAGCAGAGAGCTAATGGAACTTAATGGGGAAAGGCCAAAAGCTACTGCTGCAGGGCCAGTGATCAAAGACAGTTGTGGGAATTCGTTGCAAAATTCTGTTACAGGGAGAATCATAAAGGTGGCTGTGCATTCTGATTTTACCTGGTTTGGAATGGCCTGGGAACCAAAGTCAGCAATAAAGTCAAGAGTGTGTAATACCGGAGCCAGAAAAGGGTGGTTATACAAAGAAAACTATAGGAGAGTGATAATTATATATATATAGAGAGAGAGAGAGAGTAGATCTTTATGGTCTTTAAAATAGTTAGAAGGAAATAAGTAACGGGCTTATCAGTTTCATTTTTGGAAAGACCATGAAATTCATATTTCTCCATGACTGACATCAGAGTGATACTTGGTTGCCACTGTTCCTGCTCTCTCTTCTGCCTCACTCTCTTCATATCCCTGGCTTACCAGGTAAAGTAGAACCTTGCCATCTATACCAGGATTCCATTTTTGAGGGTAGCCCCAGAGAGGATGCTCTGTTCTCATTAATAATTTTTATAGCTCTTCATATAAATCCTTTTAAAAAATTGTTATGTTCTATCTCTTGGGGTAACAAAGTAGTATAACCATTAAGCGAACTTATTCTTTTTTAGTTTAAAGCCAGACTGCATTAACCTTGAGGAATGTTCAGTTACAGTAATCAAGATCCTAAACTCCCCATCAGCCTTTTCCTTTTCATGTTGAAAGTCCAGTAAATCATGACTTGGGAAAACCTCTTCTTCCATTTTACCTACACATAATGGCCTCAGTAAGAGAGAGCTGGAAACCTGCTGCAGTCTTTTAATTCTTTTCCGAACAAAAAGTGGGAAGTCTAGTGAGGCAGACCATTTAGTCTCTGGAATAAAAGAACACTAGTATCAGTCTTAAAAGGAGTGTGTCACTTCAGGGATATTTTATAATCAGCTTTCCAAATCTGCACCCTGGTGTTCTGTTTCAAATGTAACCAATAGAAATGTATAATTTAGAATAGTGGGAATTTTTTTAAGGATAGAATGGAAATCTGTGCCTGAACCTAACCTGGATCCCTCTCCAAACCTTTTATATCAAGCATTACCTTGAATGTATCCTTTCCTTCTGTGAGAATGGTAGAGAGGTGGTTAAGGAGAGGAGCTAGGTTTGGACAAAGTAACTGTGTAAAGCCAGGAGTTCTCATAGTATTATTGCTGACAAGAGGTGGGAGGACTATACATCTTAGCTTCTCAGATCAAAAATGAGTACTAGCAGTTCTGCTTATCACTAGTAAATATTATTTTGAAATTCTTGAATTGGAAAACAGTCCTAAAGCACTTTTTTGCTGAACGCTGTATGTTTAGTATTGCAGTTAGGGCTTTCCGGTCTAGGAGTCCTTAATCATGGTTTGTTACTTCTTGGTAGCATGTAATATGCTTATTATACTGATTGTCTCTAGTATTGCCTAACTCTGTCTTGATACCCACAAATGGCTAGAGTACCAGTCTTTCCTGTGCAGTGCAAGGAAGACAAGTACATAAATTAATAGTATTAGGTATAGCTGTAAAAAACAGCAAAATATGAAGTTAATGCTTTCATCTCTTGTAAGGTAAGACATGTTCTGCTTGCTCACACAAGAACTATTGGCATTTCCTTTTTTTCATTTGAAACAAATAAGTATGGAAAACAGTATTTTGGTTTTAAGAAATTTCTGTTTTAGCATACAGCATAGAACTGACCTTTGTGGGTTTTTTTATGAAGTTAATTCTTAAAATTAAGAAAATCTTTTTGATAGGACATGTTGGTGATTCAGCTATAACATGTTATTTCAGTCATAACATTACAGTGTATATTCACATGTATTTTCAGAAACATGCTTTGGAAAATCCCAAGTGTTTATACTATTAAGTGTTAATGGCTGCATCAGCCAATTAGTAAGTGGGATCTAACTGATATTTCTAAAACAATATTGGGAGATTATTAATTTTTCCAGACTTACCACCTGAACTTTCATTCATTATCAAAGTTTACAAAACTTCCCAAGCCCCTTAACATTTAGTACATTTGAGGATGTTCGTGATGCTGAAGATGCTTTGCATAATTTGGACAGAAAATGGATTTGTGGACGTCAAATTGAAATACAGTTTGCACAGGGAGATCGGAAGAGTAAGTACCCAAATGCCTAACATATAAATGTATTATTTTTAGACAGTGTTCTTGAGATTTTTTTTTATTAAAGCAATTTATACATCTGTTCAAAATCCAAAAGACTTTTTAAAGAAACTAGAGTATCTTGAATATTTCATATTTTTCAAGTGGATTACAAAGTTTCAGGGTAAGTGTAGCTAAGATGTGGAGATCAGAATGCCTGAAATATGTTTGAATTCTTCAGGAAGTTGATTATACAGGCATAGGCCAGATGTTAGCTACATGCAGATAATGTAGGACTATGAATAGAATGGAATAGAATCTTATAATTATGTTGTCTTGGGCAAGATACTAAGAGAGATTGAAGTAGCTGCTGTAGAGGAGGAAAACTCAGGTAGATACAATCTATCAGTAATCCTCTAGTTCTTGAGTTGGGTAATAGGTTCCTGGGTATTCATTTTGTTACTTCTATGTACTTATATCCATACATAAAGTATCTGCTTTGTAGAATTGCATGAGATAATACAAAAATTGAGGACTGCCCAGGAGTATGGGTATGTATGAGACATTCAGTGTTAGCACTTTCACTTTTTTTTTCTTTTTTTGAGACATGGTCTCACTATGTCACTCTTAGTAGAGTGCTGTGACATCACAGCTCACAGCAACCTCAAACTCTTAGGCTTTCTCTTGCTTCAGCCTCCCAGGTAGTCGAAACTATAGACGCCTGCCACAGTGCCCAGCTATTTTTTGTTGCAGTTGTCATTGTTCAGCTGGCCCAGGCCGGGTTCAAACCTGCCAGCCTCTGTGTGTGTGTCTGGCACTGTAACCACTGTGCTACAGGTGTTGATTCTCTTCTACATTTTTTTTTGGTCAGGGTGTCTGAACTGTAATTATATATTAATACATTTTGACACTGCACATTGTTTATAGGCCTCGGGTAAGTATCTTGTTATTGTTAATTGTTTTTCTAATAAAATGGAAGTCTTGGCAGGATAATTACAAACCAGTGTGTGATTCAAAAGCCATTTTTTTTGTTTGTTTGTTTTCTTTGTTTTTTTTGAAAAGGAAAATGGTTTATAATTTTTTTTGTGATTTATTATTTATAAATTTGTTTTTTATTTCAAATTAATATGAGGATACAACTTTTAGGTTGTGCTCACTTCCAGCATAAAGTTCCATTTGTAAAACAGTGCCATTTGTATTTTAATTTGGAATTTTAAAAATCCTTTTGTGGTGTAGATTACTAATGTGAAAGTAGTTGTCTTTTTCTTTCGTTTTGGAAGTGAGTTCTTTGCTGCCCAGGCTATATAGTGCAGTGGAGCAGTCATAGTTCAGTGAAACCTCAGACTCCTAGGCTCAAGCAATCCTCCCTGCTTCAGCTTCCTAAAGCACTGGGGTTATACACATGAGCCAATAATACAGTGTTCTGATAGACATTCTTGAGAGTAAATACATAAGCTTTTCCAAGATTAATATTCACAGCCTTGACCTAGCCCAAGAAAGAAATGAAGACTAAATCATGCTGTAGGTCTGCATGTCACACCAAAACTAGAGAAATCTCTAAAAACAGAATCCAAAACACATACACACTTCCCTTGGTGTTTAAGAGAAGGGGATGCAGGAATTTTTTTGAGGCAGAGTCTCAGTTGCCCTGGGTAGGGTGCAGTGTTGTCAGCATAGCTCACAACAGTAGTCTCAGGTGACCCTCCTGCCTCAGCCTTGCCAGTAGCTGGGGCTACAGGAGCCTGCCGCAATGTTTGGCTAATTTTTCTATTTTTAGTAGAGATGGGATCTCACTCGTGCTCAGACTGGTCTTGAACTTGTGAGCTCAGCTGATCCACCCACCTCAGCCTCCCAGTGTTCTAAGATTACAGGCATGAGCCACCATACCCAACCAGAAATTTTTTTTTAATTGAGGGTTTCAGTACTAAGTTTTTAATATTTCTAAATATTTGTGTTGTGTATTTCCTAGCACCAAATCAGATGAAAGCCAAGGAAGGAAGAAATGTGTACAGTTCTTCACGCTATGATGATTATGACAGATATAGACGTTCTAGAAGCCGAAGT